TTATATTGATATGTTCATTTTTGAAAAAGTTACGGCAGTTTTTAGTAAAAAAAATTGAAAAAATTTCGAAAATTAGCGATTTTTAAATTTGTAATTTTTTTGGAGGTTTCCCCCATTTACGGGGAACGAGGGAAATTTTTTCAATTTTGAAGGGTAATGTCTTCGACTAGATACGATTTGTGATCTTTTGACGTATCGTTGAAAGAAATCCGTTCGGTGAGAGCTGAGAAAAAGTGGTAACAGACACAAAAAAAAAAAAAAAAAAAAAAAAAAAACACATCATAGTAAAACCAATACCTTCTCAGCTTCGCATCGAAGCTAAAATGTACGGTTCTTCTGTTGTGTTAAGGGTTCAAATTAACCAAAGAACTAACAATTGTTAGTCATTATTAGTCAATTTTTGCATTACCCCGAAAATATTCAAATTATAACAACAATTTATATCTATTTTTTGGCTTTGATTAAATTTTAACAAGGAATAATTTTATACTTGACTAACAGTTGGTCTCAGAAACTGTCAAAATAAAATTTGCGTTGCAGATATTTTTGAGTGATGCTACTTAGTTTTATATATGAAACTTTTTATTATAAATACTAAAATTATAACTACTTATAGCAGCTGTTTCAGTTATAAACTGTATAAAATAACTCCTTAAACAACTTCCTTAAATAGAATGGAATGAATATTGTTATTTATAATTAAAAATTATGAAATGTTTAAATTAAACTATATAAATTTTAATGGAAATTCTATCTTAACATTAAATTTTAATTTATTTTAAGACAAATTTTCAAATATAATAATCATTAATAGTGATAATTAATTACTGATTAAAAAATCACATAATGAAACATCCACCAGTTGTTTTGGTTCAGCAGGTTACTTAGGTCTGGTTAACTCCTAACTTATTCAATGTTTACTATGTACAATTATACACTATTAAGTTTATTTAAATTCGCAATAAAAAGAATTAAATTGATATTTTTTATTATTTATATCATAAAAGTCACTGACAATTGAAAACAAACAAAACTACGACTAATATTTTATACTTCAATAGAAGGTCAATAATATTTGATAATTTTATTTTTGAGTGCTGTCTATCATAGGAAAATAACTTTTCTTTGATAGAAAGTCAATAACCTTCCATTGACATGATAAATGAACCAATGTAATGGTATATAATGGAGAATTAAGTACAAATTTTTGTTGAAGGGTATTGAACACAGTCGGCAAATATGATAAATCACCGACGAACTAGTATTATGATATTATATTGTATCTAATTACAAATTATTTAGTAGAATTCATTAGGACAAATGATAAGAAAATTCTGGCAGATATGTTTAATGCTTAAATATCTTTGTTTCAATTTCTTTTAGGTTCATCTTAAGTTTAGTAGGACATTGAACGACAATATCTAAACTCGTATTATACAAAGCTATTTGTAACTAGTTAAATGCATCTTAACTCAGTTCTTTCTAGATAAGAAATATATTTACTAATTAACAAAATAATTGTAAGACTCGCTTTGTCCTAACTCTAAACACTCGAACCGACTACGAAAGTTAATGTAATAATTACACAAATCATATGACCTTACTTCTAGCAAACATATTTTTGACCAATTATACCAAAGCTAAAATTAAATAATAAATAATATAGGAAGTATGATGTATTACTTCGTGTTTTACATATTATAGATGAAGTGTATCTACATTGCAATGTATTCAATGTTAAAGTACTAATTTATTTTAAAGGTTAAACTTGAATAACAAACAATATTTTCCATATTTTTATTTAAACCAACTAAAAAGCTTAATGAATAATATTACTTGTAGTCAAATGATTTTTTCCGTTATATAATTGAGACACTCAGAAGAACAAGTGCCCTAATCAAATTTCCAATTTTTGTTGAGAAGACAAAAAAAATCTAATTAAATAAAAAAGTATTATTATTTTCACCAATTTAAAATATTCACCCCATTTCTTTACTTTTTTTTTTTTTTTTAATTAGAATATATAGATTGATAGATCTATATCTTGTTCTTAGATAAAAAGAACAAGGACTACTTTTGGATAAGTAGAAGATTATTACTGAAGATCAGTTGGACGAATTAAAATGTAACATAAATATATTAAACCAAGTAAATATAAAAGGGCTTCTATTAAGTATCATAAAAGAAAAAAGTTGAAAAATATTTAATCACTCATTGAGGCATAACACGTTTTTAATCAATCGAAAGACATATAAACGAACATAAAAAAAGACCAAGAAAGGCATATTTAAAAGAAATGACAAGAATAGCTGGTTGTAATTAATACAATCATGTTTTTTATAAGTGTCTCAATTGTAAATAAGGCGTTTCATTTCCAAAAACACACGAAGATTTTTTTAATATCATAGGTTTGGTATAGCATTTTGCTAGGAAACTACATTAGTCATAGTCAAATAGGTTCATTGAAATAATTATATCGAGAACGAACGCATTTTGGGTACAGTTTTTTTTTTTGAAGAGTACTTAAAAATTATCAGTGTGTAGTACATTAGATCCGTAACAGTCAATTATTGTGTGGTGTTCCAGATTTCTCCTTTCCTACCCCAAGATATCTAATAGTCATGACTCTAACAAGTTCAAGTAGGTGAACTGAATGCTATAGCGGTCTAGTATAGTTATAAATAAAACATAATGGCTAATAGATTTTCATTCCAAAGAAAAATCTAAACAAAATTAACTAGTTAATGACTACTGTTTATTATATATCAATTGTAGTCATTTAAATTAAGCCGTACAATATGTACACATGGACAGGACATTACTCTATTTACGATGAGTGTTGATAGGCGATTAGTGTCCAATTATTTGTACTTTAACGTTCATTAAATGCAAAAGAATTGATTGATTCTTGATAATTGAGGGATATAACGGTAATTTAATATTCATTAGAAAACAAATCGATCATTTTTTCTGGTCTAGTAATTTCTGTAGATAATATCGACGGAGGTGCTTACATTCGAAAGCGTTAAATGGAACAATTTTATTTATACATCAGAGACAACTCAGTGATAGTGCGGAAAATGACCAGACAATAAAATAAAATATACAACAGTGGTATCTGAATTTATCACAGAAAATAACAAGCGATGACGGGACAGCCCACGCACATTTAACGGATTTGCGTAAATGTATTTATCAATTAATTTCATAACGAATACCTAAATCCTTTCCCCGTCCGGATATTGAGTATACACAACAATAACAACGCGCGGGATGTCGTCTACGATCTAGTTTATGTTTATTATCGTATTTTGCAAAATAATTTATTTATTATTTCCTATTGCAATGGTGTTTATACAGCCTACTCATGCACACGTTATAACAGTGTCAGCTTACTGATTGCAATGTCAATTTGCAAAGTTATTGATTTTTAATCAATATAAAATTAGATCACGGATTTTAATAAAAAAAAAAAAAACAAATTCCGAGAGAGAATTAAAGTTTCATGCCAATTAAAAGATTAATAATGATTGTTTGTTCATCATTATCTCATTTCTTTGTTCACTACTACGCATCTCGTTAAATAAAAGACCAGTTCAAGTACAACGGACTCTACGCTATGTCATAAAACGCAATAAAATTAACAAATTTCTTAAGCTCAGAGCTAAAATTAAATGCGTACGTATTACCTATGCACGATAAACACGAGTATAATTAATTATACAGTAAATTATTAAATATATACACGAACACACTCCGGGGACACCGAGAGTTTTGTTCTTTTGATTAATACGAATCGGTGTAATTTTGGAACAAAATTTACGTTTACAAACTTTATGAATAACTTGTTGAAATTGGTCCAAGAAACGTTTTTGGCGCTGAAATGTGATTTTGTTAGAAAGTTATTGCTCTTAAAAGTAAAAATCTGTTTCCTAAAATAAAAAAATATGTATGGAGAAAGGCCTATTTGTCAACGTTTGAAAGCAATACATTATTAGAAAACTTTTGATTTCGTATGTCTTCTTTAGGGATATTACCCTTTACCCCATTACCATATCTAGATACCCCACAAAATGTATAGCCCATTACCGCATATGACTTGGAAACAGTTCTGTACATTAACCGCACAATGTCAACTTTAAGTACTGCGTATAAATTACTTTTCATATTTTCATTTATCTTCTACCAGAAGCCTAAAAGGATTTAGGTCATATGTTCATATTCACATTATGCATACATTACATTTCTTGGCGCTTGTACAAATTACAATTAAAGTTTCATATTATTATCAACTACTTAGTGTTGCAGTACATGAGTAAGTTGTTTTTTAAATATTAGTTGGGACTTCAAACTCAAATAAAATGTAAAAAATGAACTCCAGACTCTTCAAATGTCATTGGATTTTCCCAGCAATAAAAATTTTAAAGCGAAATCAGCTACCATAGACTTTTATTTATCTAGTTCACCGAATTGAATATTATAACGCGAGTGCATCTTAATCGTAGGTTAAGCTGTTTACTAGACATCCAATAAGCTGTCAAGATATTACTCGTACACAATAAAATAATAAAACCATTAGGCTAAAAAATCACCTAGCTTTTTACGAACCATGCCGATTAATTTGTCGAGAAAAGACAAATATTTTGCGTATCAAATAAACAAATTGGCATTTTAAAGAAACGTTTTTACAACGCAATTAATTTTTACCTTTGCATAGTTTGCATTGACCTCCCGTTGACCTACTGCTGATAATTTACTGTGTGGGAAGAGCACTGAAAACAATATTATTAGACGCAATTCAATAGTCAATGAGTTATATTGTTTGATAAATTACAAATGCAAAAGTTGACTTTTAGTGGAATATTTTATTATTTTTAACGGTATCGATTAGTCATTACAGTTGTGGCGCCGTTGCGGTTTTTGTATTATAATTTAGCGAGAGCACCGGAACAGTGTAATAGAAGTTGGACACGACCATGTAAATGAAAAGTTTGAACTCTTAACCTCTTTAGAGGGTCGCTCGTCAAGATATCCGCAAATGTTTAAAAATCCACCTAAGATATCGTTTAAATGTCGTTGACCAGTTGTAGAAATTACTCGGTCGATTCCGCGATTAATTGCGTCCGTTGTTTTTCGCTATTAACTTGACATATTACGGAAATTCCAATACAAAGAAATATAACACTTTCTGTTCGGTACCCGTTAAACTAGTGAACATGAAATACAAATTTTACGCACAATTGCCTACAAAATAATATCTCAGTTTTTGATACAACTCCTCAATATCGTTACCGTTTCTTATGCCAAAAAAACACTGAAAAATCTGGTGTCCGTTCAACCGTGACGCTTGTTTTCTTCTTTTTCTCTCCTAAGAGATCACCATTTCATCATCAATTTCTCTCGACCATGCCGAAGACATTATTATACTTATGTTGAGCGCATCAGTCTTTTTTTTTCATTTTTCTAAAAAGTTGGTATTATTTTGTTTCAACAGGGGACCCAAATTTTTAATATTTAGCTAAAAACACAAATAGTGACCTAAACCACTCAAATTAAATAATGCGCCCTATTTCAAAAACTACTAACAATAGTGTTCATGGTAGATATTCATAAAGAGTCGGTCATTGTTTTTCCTTTTTAATTTACCAAGCATATCTTATGTTAAAAATTCATAATTAGAAATTCGCTATTTTTCCACGTGCCTCAATGTTTTTCAAACAATTACTTTATTAGGTTGTTGTGAATATGTTAACTGAAATGAGTTGTTCTTAACATGTTTGTTGACCAGAAAAATGTGTTTGATAAAAACAATGGCTATCTATTATTGCTCATTGAAATGTCTAAACGATTAGATTAGGTTTTTTTTCCTTAACATCTTACAATATTGTCACAATAAAACATCGGCGGATAGGTAGGAGCAACGCGATTATTGTTGATAGCACTTTTTTATTAATTCTAAATACAATAAATGATAAATAGAGCTACGTGTCTATCTATACTTTTGAATGTAAATTAACACACGAAGCGTGGACAATGGTTAACTAACGCAAAATTAAGTATAAGCAATATATTTTAATTAGTTATGTGATGTGTACTTAGTTAATGCATTTGTTAGCTAATATTCCTAATTAATATTAAAGTCATTTTATTTCCAAACAACTTTAGGTGCATTTTAAGTTAAAGTTGCGAACTCGATAAAAAATCATAATAAATGAGAGATTTTCAATGGTAGTTTAACGAAACACTACGTACTAGCCATTTACAAAATAAAAATTAAATCATTGAGATGACGAAATGATACCTTTGAAATAATTCCATATATTTTAACAACATTAAAACAGATTTCTAAATTAATAATATAGAAGTTTGTAACCGAATTCAGCTTAATAGTCCATCGTTGTGTAGACATGTATTATAATTATTCACTAATATTGAAAACAGCTTCGAGATATTGTATTGTATGGTAAACTACTCATCTGACGTGACGTCAATATTGCATAACTCGTCAAACAAATCCGTATGACACCGAACAAGTAATAACAATAATAGTACTTATAATGATAGCTGATTATGACAGTATTAGTTTAAAAAACCAGATGCAACCGATTGTTGTAAATTTAATAATTTATATTGGCTTAACTACGTCAGACTTTGGGTACTGAAAAAAATAACAACTGGTAACCATATCCCATTTGTGCGCGGTTAACCTAATGCAGTTTGTCTTCTATATTTTTAAACTTTTTAATTACTTTGCTTTGAATAAATATCTAAAAATTATTTTGTTTTGAATTTGTATGAAGTAGATTTTCTTATAGTATGAAAAAATAGTGAATTATTAAACTGGACTTTCATTAAGTAGAAGGCTATTACATCATTTATAGATTGTCTTCGAGTTGAAAAATAAATTCATTATTAAAATATTCTTCTCTAAAATATAAACTTCTCTTTGTCTATTCAAGTGATAAATTTATTTTTTTAACACAAACGTTATTAAAAAGAGGTTTTGTGCAGCATATCATGAAGACCAATAATAATTTATCACTTGAAAAGGTCGTAGAGTAGACGCTAAATACTAAGTTGTTAAATTTTGTTTTTCTGTGACCCTATCTCTCAACAAAATTTTATTCTAACAATAAGTCATAATGATTATTGGTTTATTCTTGACAAAGAACATTGTGTCAATAGTAAACTTCACCATCAAATAAGAGCGCTGTATAATAACGCGCCTGTAATTACCATTACACTCAGGAACGTTTAACAGGTTTAAACGATCGATGACTATTTAGGTACATAAGTATACAAATATTTTGTAATGTGGTTTTACACAACTAATTAATAACCATAAACGATTTGCTACAACTTTCGTAAGCTTACCGGTTATTTTAAGTTATCAGCCGATAAAGAGCACTTGAATTTTTAAGAGAATTTTAAACAACATATACGTTCAAAAACTGATTTTCTCACATAAAACATAATAGTTATCTTATGTCACACAAAAAACTAACAAAAATGTTTCAAATTCATGACTTACTCTTATGTTTGGAATTTCCTTTCCATATTGATTTGAGTGATAACGGCATTGCGGAAGGTCTGTATGGTACTTTATCAAATAAAAATTATATATTAAAAATAATTTAATTACTATTGTAGTGTGATTAAAATAATATTTGGCACTAAATAATGAAAATTTACTAGAAATATAACAATTAATTCACAATAATATTTGTAGAAGACTAGTTGGTGTATATGAAAATATACTAATTGTGTACGTTTGTAAAATATTGACGGCGTACTGAATTAATTTTTGAGCAGTCGATACACGCGCGACCGAACAATTGGAACTCTCACCGCACACTGTGATTAAACTAGCACGTTGAGTCGCAGTGGTTACATCAAAAAAACCCCAACCAGCCTTAGATAGGTGACTGTGTTTTTCTCGGTTGCTTTCTCTCTCGCTCTTTTATTTACAATTCCGTTGTTTGTATAGTCGGCTACAGGTATAGCGAAGAGCTGTGTGTTATTGAACAGTATAGCAATTTAATACTTTTCTACGATCAGTGTCCGAAGAAAAAACATTTATAAAGTAATGACATCAATACGTTGTTTTTATTTTAGTTCTTATGTGCGAGTCGACCAAGCTGATTCGATGTACACAGGGAGCATACCTATTTTTAAAACTATGAAAATTCATAAACCGTTTGAAAAATTTAAGTTAAAAATAAAACATTTACGAGTAATCGTATGGTTATTAATATTATTTACCATTAAACAATATAAAACCGAAGGAATAAGCATCGTTTAGAGTTTTTACAAAAAAATTAATTTAAGTTCATCCAACAAAGTTAATAAATATATATTATTGGACATAATATTTAAAAATAAATACCATTTCGCTACAACTTGTACTTAGAGTTCGCAGTTTTAAACGTTTTTTTTTTTAACTATTATTTTAATCTTGTTTAAAACATAATATTATTTTATCATAGTTGAAATTATCTTTACTCAAGATTTTTTTAAACATTTCATGACTCAATAAACTATAAGAAATCATAAAAATCAGCTAGGTATATTAATAACTAAGACTCAAAAGTTAGAAAACCTTAAATGACAAATTTTAATTCTAGTTTAGCGTTTTTGATGAAATAAAACGCTCAAGATGTGTTAAAACATTTTTTTCTCATCTTCGCGATTAATTTTGCCCAGAATAACGTTATAAAGTTGTTACATTAAAAAAAAATGTTGAATTACTTACTTAACACCGTTAATAAATGTTTACAACATTTGCTAATTTTTCAATATATTATAATATAATAAGATAATTATGAATATTAAATAAAAACAATAAATTTATTTTTTAAATTAATCAAATTTTGAATATGATACATATGAATATATATGATTAAAATTTCTCCAGCCATTTTTATTTCTATTATACTGTATTATGCATAATAAAACTGTACACTGAGCTACTATGAACATTTGTTAGACACCTAACATGTTTATCAATTTCAAATAAATATTTTGCTAAATATTACAAATAATTTATTTTTGGAGTTAAAACTATTTCCACAATAAACTTTTTGTTTATTTTACATGTTTAGTTGTTATAAAATGTGAAGTTGCAATGTGTATCAACACATTATGACTCATTGGTCAGAATTGTCGATTTCAATTCAACGGAATTAGCGTAGTTTGCTATAAAATAGTTATTAAAATAATAATTGAATAAATCATTAAAATAAAAATGTTAAATAAAATAAAACTAAATAATTGAGGTGACTTATAATTCGATGAAATAGTTATTCAGTTTTGATTTGCGAATTGCTCAGAGTTCAGCTACAAAAAATTCGTTTAACCAATTAATATTTATAAATATTATTGCCATGCATTATTATTTGACGATTATGCGTTTTCTTAAGATTTATTGTAAATATAAAAATTATATTAACTATATTGATGACAAAGAGAAAGAGTATATAGTTAACCTCTCAAAAAACCTTATAACTTCGATGCGAAGCTGAGCAGGTATTAATTTTACTAAGATGTGTTTATTTTTTTTATTTTTTATTTTTTTTGTGTCTGTTACTATTTTTTCTCAGCTCTCACCGAACCGATTGCTTTCAACGATACGTCAAAAGATCGCAAATCGTATCTAGATGAAGACATTACCCTCAAAAATTGAAAAAAATTCCCTCGTTCCCCGTAAATGGGGGACATCTCCAAAAAAATTACAAATTTAAAAATCGCTAATATTCGAAATTTTTTCAATCTTTTTTTCTTAAAATTGCCATTTCTTTTTCAAAAATTAACAAATCAATATAATTTTTTTTTTTTATAGATGCATAATGTCTTTACCTATCATCTGATATATTTTTTTTATAAATTTGACCCTTTATCAAAATGATAACTTTATCATAAAAAATTAACTTTTTTAAATCAAGTTTGAAAGTGTTGAAAGTGAAAGNAAAATTAACTTTTTTAAATCAAGTTTGAAAGTGTTGAAAGTGAAAGTTTGAAACTTGAAAGTGACACTTTTATATATACCTTAAATTAAAACTAATGTAATATATTTAATATGAAAAAAACAAATTTTGGACTCTATTTTATTTTCATGGTGAAAATGGCTACCGTATGCTATTTTTGTGTTCAAATTCTTGATTTTATATTTTACATTTTTAAATTTATATTTTTATAACTTTTTGAAAAATGTATGGATCAATACAATTTTTTAATGATAAGTACTATTTATATTCTTCTTTCTTTCCACATGTTTTTTTAAATCGAACCATTTACCTTTATATATATACATATTCATATATTATACTTATAAATCATAAAACTTCATAAAGGAAATCATGTAGCTTTTGGAATAATCCAACAATTTCCTAGAATTAAATACTATCTACAGATTTGCATTGGAGCGTTTTTTTTTATAGTGATTTTAATCACTGTCAGATATCATTATTCTTGACAACTATGCCACGTCACCACTGTGCCGCGACCACGCTGTGCTGAGTTTTTTTTAAATATAAAATTAGTTTATTAGAACAATATTTTACATGAAGCTAGCTAATAACAAAACTCATGGAATGAAAGAATAATTATAGAAATGATTTTGTAAATAATTAATTTATATAACAAAAACATTAAGGTATCAATTAATGCGCTGTAATATGGTTAATTTTATCAATATATCAGTTTAATTTTGAATTTGAAAAAATGTATTTCAATAAAATTTAATTATATGAAGAGAAATAAGACAAATACATTTGTAAAAACATTAAAACAGCCATATATTCTACATCAACAATTACAATTGTTGGAATTACAATTTCTAGATAACTTAATTTAAACGATTCAATATCAACTACAATTAGCATTAAATAATAGTTGACCGTCATTGACAAACTGTTAATTAACTAGAATTCAGTAGTAGTACATTTAGTATTAATATTTCAAATGACTATTCATTCGTCATTAGTCAATATGCCAATGAGTTTATAAATGTTAATGGTATCTAAATAATCATCCATCATGATCATGTCAATGAAATAAATATTGTTTGCACGACCAGCAACAATAATTAGTAATGACATTATCCTAGTCCACCTGATCTTACTTTATTATAAAAAAAAAAAAACAGAAACAAGCAGGTAAACATTTATTAATGAATAAAAATTATGTCTAAGTATTACTAGGATTGTTGTTGCTGAACAATTAAATGTCAGTATTATTTCAAGAATTTTAGAGTAGTTGACCGTGTGTTTATTTACCAAAGACAGAACAATACTATGATGATGTCATAGTATTAAAAAATTGTACTTATTATCACAATTTACTAGAAAAACATTCGTGTGAAAATATGCCGTATGCTTCATATTTTATGGATTATGATGCATAAATCTTGATTTTGATTTACGTTTTCTCATTTGTTTTAATTGTTCTTAAAAATTGTTTTTATAATAATCATATTTGTTATATTTAAAAATATCTATACAGATTAACATTATCTTAAAGTCTGTTTAATTTGAAGTGACTAAAAGATTACTATAGTATCAATTAGGTTGTGGTATCATCGACATGCTTTAATGATTATAAAAAAGAGCCACACTTTAGGAACCACGCAATATCGATTTTATACGCAGCAACAAGGTCGATCAATTCTCTCACAGTGTCGTTGACAGAAAAAAGAATTTTGCTTAAATTCCAAGGTACATTAATCACTATGGCTACTATTGTCTTCTCGGTTTTTAGATTTTGTCCTGAACACATAATAAAACTATACTGCGACACCCAACTAATAAAATAACTAATCCGCATCCGTCAATTCACCTTTAGTGCTTCGGTACTAAAAGAAAACTATGCTAGTTACGGTTATTGAAAATTTGTATTAAAATTAATTCAATTTTGTTTCATTTAAACTCTACTGTAGCAATTGGGAAAAGTATACATTAATAACCTTGCTGTGTAGGTTTTAATTGCTCCAGTAGTTATGCCAGAATCTCTTTGTATAATTGGGAAGTTTTAATAATTCAATTTATTTAAGAATAATAGTTATTTTTAAATTAACAAAATGAAATGAGATAATTTTGAAATTTCTAATAGAAATTATATAATGATTTTATAATTATTAGCAATTTTAATGACTCCGACATTTGGCAAAAATAGTTTTTCGATTATTCCTTATTAACTAACTTGTTTTACACGATAAATCAAGTTTGTGTTTGAATATTTATGTTTAAGGAATAATTATCTTTAGGTAAATTTGTGTATGATATTATTTGTATAAAGATGTTTCGATATGCATTGATAGTGAAACATTACAGTGGATAAAAAATTTAATACACGTATAGAATCTATTATACTTAGGCTGCTATTTTAACAAGTATTACTTTCACTTGAATACCCACTATAGTCACGTATTAGCGAGTTATCATTCGATGTTATAATTTTTTTCACGAGTAATATTTATGTGTGTGATTTTTCGTTATTAAATTTGAATGAAGTACAAATTATAAACACTTTTTCAGCTAACAGTTATTTGTATGATACAGATATTATGAAACGTCTCTAACTATAAATAAAAACAATAATTAATTTGTGTCAAAATTTTATAAAAATTTAAGACCTTTTTAATTTAAAATTATAAATTTTTATTATTATTATTTTTTTTAATTTTATTTCTTGGATTTTCCTCGTTTATGTTTTTAAGTAAAATTTGAAAATATTTACAAAAAACTACATTGAAGACTTAACATTTAAGTTGAAAATTATACTCAATAGCTTTTAAAGTGGACACTGATAGAGCTATACCTCTTGTTGGCAAATTAGTATGACTTAAGCGTTAGTAAGAGTTGGTAAAAAAACCAATAT